TATGGCATTGAGGATGAACTTTTCGATTGGACCACCACTGCCAGTTTGTCCTCGGAAACCACGATTCTCACTTCCTGGCACCCAGATTGACGGTGGCGGTTTCGGTAGAGGTTTTCCAGAATCTGGATAATCAACATAGAGCATGAGTAATGGTAAAAGTATAAGCTCTACCTACCTTGAATGTATCGAAGACTGAATCCTGTCTCATAATCTAGTTCTGTAGAATCGGCTATGATTAAAACTTCGGCTTGTTCAGATGTCACTTCGATCTCGTTTTCTTTGCAGCTAAATAATAGGCATAGTTTTTAATGTTGTATTTATTCCATTCATTTATCCCAAAAAAGTCTTATGAAAAAAAATTATATAATCTATTATAAAATCTCAACAAGATGGGCATTTCTTAGCAGTGGTTTAACATTAGAAATAGCATAAATTTTTCAATTAGACAATCAAGGGAAGGCTTAGGAAATGTGAAAAGCGTTTCACTTGGCCTTCACCTTTCTGGCATCCAACATCCAGGAAACTGATGCGTTTTATTTGAGCTGAGCTTAACGCACGACGACAACACAACCGAGTGACGGACCTTGCTCTTTTAAAAAAATGCGACCCATTCGTGGCCCATACGGATTTCACTTAAGATTTTTCTCGATTTTTCCTAAAATCTCCCATCTTCTGCACTTACGTAGTAGTAGCCAAGTAATACAAAACGTGCCAAATCGGGCACTTCATTTAGTGCAGCGAGGAGGAATTAAGATGAGGTCCACCTAATTCTTATACAGGAGTTTCTCCTCAAACTTCTTCTTGGGCAACCCTTAGTTACGTAGGACGAAAACCATATACAAAATTCATATTTCAATGCTGCACAATTGAATATGGTGCCTGCTATGCTATGTCTTTATCTTTTCTTTGCCATAACTTTAATTTTTAGGTTCACATCGCTCCAAGGATATACCTAACTCATATATCCCAAAATATTATTAAACATTTTCTTGAAAATAGTTTGTGGTAGTTTTAGCTTCGTCCTCGTAAGTCTAAAATACAATATGTCGGCAGGAAGAGAGTGGCTATGATGATAAATTCAAATGCATCAAATAGCCTCGTGTTAGATAGAGAAAAAAGCGAAGGTTTGATTTGGACAAGAATTCTCAAAAATGGTATTGTCCCATAAGGCAGCAAAAAAATTGAGCGCTGTCCTCAATGTCTTAAACTCAACATGAAGTGTTTGTAAATGACTTTCGAGCAAGTGCCCCATTTTTATATTTGTGACCTCTCTTTCGTGGGAATATATGAATTTATTTCTTTTCAAGGACGGCGACGAGACACCACAAAGAGAAAGGGAGTTTTCTGTGCTTAAGAAGATCTTCAATACTCAACGCTGCAACCACTTTGGGATTTAGTAGCAGCCATATTCGGACAGTTTAAGGTAGATTTGTTCAGAATCTTTTTGAGAGATTTGGAGGTGCAAGCGTTGGATGAACAGAATTATGCTGATAGGAAACAGACCAACGCACATTCAGAGTTGAACTAAGACGCCTTACAGCCCTTTTCAAGGATTGAGAATAGTTACGTATCTCAAGGCTATTTTTCCGTGCAAATTAAAGTGATAAAAGAATTCAATCATAGTGCCTTGAAAAGGCTAACAAGGGAAGGATACTTAGTGGCCGTGGCCGTTCGGAATGAGATGTATATCAGAAGAATGGTCTTA